CTGTAAGCTTCAGTGAAGGTTGTACAGGAGATTACGGGGCGACCGTGGCTCAGGAGGTTGGGAAGCGTATCTGTAACCGGAAGGTCGCCGGTTCGATCCCCGGGCTCTCTGTCCTGGTCGTTGTGTCCTTGGGCAAGACACCTTACCCTACCGCCTACTGGTGTTGGCCAGAGGGGCCGATGGCGCGATATGGCAGCCTCGCTTCTGTCAGTCTGCCCCAGGGCAGCTGTGGCTACAACCGTAGCTTGCCTCCACCAGTGTGTGAATGCGAGAGTGAATGAATAGTGGCATTGTAAAGCGCTTTGGGTGCCTTGAAAAGTGCTATATAAATCCAATCCATTATTATTATCCCAAAGTTCTCCAATAGCAATGTGAGAGACTGATAAAGTCATACAGAAAATGATTACATCATGGTATAGAAGCTACAGGTGGTTCTATAACAGTTGAATCATGGGTTGTACTTCGCTTTTCACAGGACGACACAAAGTCCTCTGAAAACCTTTGTTTGTCACATGACTGTATATCCTAAAGTATATATGAAGAGGGGCTGTGTGTTCATAGTCACATAGGAACATTTGACTTCCTCCACTGATTGATTTGCATTACTAGCTTTTGGACAGCAGTGGCACAGAGGAATAAAATGAATCATGATTTAAATGCATTGATGGTGTGATCAATCTATTGCTGGTCCCTTCACATAGAATGTTGGCAGAAGTACAACACCTTCAGTGGAAAATCCTACTTAAGAACAATATCAACAATGACATGTTGATATTATTGATGTGTGAAAAAACATGTTGGGACAGCTGACCTTCCAAAAACACAAAAACTGGCATCTCGCAATGTTTCCATTGTTGGAGCCAGAAAATAATCAGTAGTGAAAGTGAGACAGATGTTTAAAGCAAACGTTCAAAGAGAGAGAATTACATCACTATCAGCATTTTATAATTTAGAAACATATTGCCCAGTGCCAAACTCAAATTCCTGATATTATGCGTGTGCATACATGTGTAAATAATATATGTTTGTTTTTTCCTTCCCTGACTGCTGTGTATTGTTGGATAAAAAGTTCTCCAAATTGACACACACAGATATATGCACGTATCTCCAGTCAGCCAAATCACGTTACATGCGTTTAAACATTCGTTTTTTTTTTAAGGCCATCAATTTTGCTTTGCTTGTTTGTGCATGATAGAACACATCCGCAGTCAAGTTTCCTCCCAGTTGATCTAGATCCAAATTTGTGCTTGGATTTGCCTTTCTTCAGAACTCTGGCAAAATTCATATGCTGACTTTCCTTTAGGCTGTATACTTTACAGTAATGTATTTAGTCATAGTAGTTGCACTTAACATTCACGGACACGTCAAGCTCACAATAACAGACATGAGTTGAAGAAAAAAAGAAAATGCAAGTTGAGAATATGATGGATCTTGTGATGTATTTTGAAGTAACAGCGCAAACAAAAAGATTCTAAATTTAGGGATGTGCAGGACTAGTCAACTAGTCGACAAGTCCTTGCTGTTGTCACTAGTCAGTTCCAAACTTGCTGGTCGTTTAATCTAATTATTAAAATTTTAATTGATGCCCAATGCCGTAAATGATTGTCCTAATGTGTTATGCAGCCTTCTGCCACAAGAGAAACCATATCTCTGTTAATCATCTTTTTGTTAACACTGTTAGAATGAGATTGCCAGTAAAAGTTCATTCATAATGCATGACAAAATGGGCAACACTTTTCAGTCACTTTATTAGTTTCTTAGATGTTAAATATGTCATATTTTAGTTATATGTCTTGGCATGGCATCAGCTCAAGGGTTGTCAGGTCTTGTGCAGACCAACTGTGTGGGGTGATGGAGCGCATCTTCATCCTGAGCCTAAGGCTGGGGAGAGTCCCACAGCTCTGGAAAACCTCCTGTGTTGTATCAGTGCCAAAGACTCCACGTCCCAAGGATCTCAACAGCTACAGGCTGGTAGCTCTGACACCCCACTTGATGAAGACCCTGAAGCGGCTGGTCCTGGCTCAGCTACGGCCCCTGGTGAGCTCATCACTGGACCCACCTCAGTTTGTCTACCAACCTGGCATTGGAGTGGATGATGTCGTCACTCACCTCCTACATCATTCCTTCTCTTACCTGGAGACCGCTGGGAACACTGTGAGAATCATGTTCTTTGATTTCTCCAGTGCCTTCAACACCATTCTTTCCACGGTAATGAAGGACAAGCTGGAGAACTTAGGAGTGGACCATCACCTCACATCATGGATACTGGAGTACCTCGCCGACTGACCACAGTACGCGAGAACTCAGGGCTGTGTGTTGGACAGGGTTGTCTGCAGTACGGGGGCCCCACAGGGAACGGTTCAGGCTCCGTTCCTTTTCACCATCTACACTGCAGACTTCTCCCACAACTCCACCCAGTGCTTCCTTCAGAAGTTCTCTGATGACTCTGCAATAGTCGGCCTCAACACTGATGGGGATGACAGGGAGTACAGAGAACTGATCCAAGACATTGTGGACTGGTGCCAGCAGAACGTTGGAGTGAAGGGCCCACACCTGAAGACCTTCTATGACTCTGTGGTGGCCTCAGCTATCTTTTACGGTGTGGTCTACTGGGGCGGCAACATCTCTGCAGGGGACAGGAAGAAACTGAACAGGCTGATCCAGAGGGCCAGCTCTGTTCTAGGATGCCCTCTGGACCCAGTGAGTGACAGGAGAATGGCGGCTAAGCTGTCATCCCTGCTGGACAACATCTCTCACCCTATGCAGGAGACTCTGACAGCACTGAGCAGCTCCTTCAGTGGCAGGCTGCGTCATCCACACATGTGCAATAACACTAAGTGCAATTCTCTTTTTCTGACAACATTGTATTTTATTCTGTTGTATATAGTATTTTATTCTATTCTATTGTGTACATTATTTTATTCTTATTATCTTATCCTATTCAAATGTTTTTTCTTAATTTTTGCTACTGTAGTTTTGCGCTGTCCACTTTCTGCTGTAACAAAATAAATTCCCCTAATAAAGGTTATAAATAATAAAATTTGCAGTAACATGATTTGATATCATAATAAACACTGATTTTTTTTTCTGTTTTTTGTCTGTGTGGAGCATAAGGCTGCTCCACGCTTCGCTTGTGTCACTTTTAGGCTATCTGACAATGATTTTCACATCACGTCTTGTGTCATGCCACACAATCTTTGTGGTGTGCAGGCTGACATCCTAGGAGTAAACACTTGGCGACAGCGGAAAGGAAAACCTCCTTTTTAACAGGAAGAAACCTCTAGTAACCAGGCTCAGAGAGGGAACTACAAGTAAGACAGTATTCTGAGAGCAAAGTGCTCTATTAGGGTGATATGCTACTATTAGGTGTTTAAGAGCAGATGGGCCCTCATTATTAAATTCTTTGTAAGTGAGGTTAAAGATTTTAAATCTAATCCTGGATCAACTGAAGGATTTTCAGGGAGTTTTTAGGACAGCCTGATAATACTGACAATGACAATTGTATCATAAGAGAACAATATTTTGAGGAAACGAGGACTATGCTCTGATTTTTAACAAGCAACTCCTTGGCTTATCGGATAATTAATAAAAACTCTTGACAGCAAATGAAAAGAATAGTTTTTTTTTATTTGGCACGACACAAAAGTGCTTTACGATAACACTGCCCATGACTAGTTTGACATGAAAACATTTTTGTAGGTTAACTGTCAGTCTCATTCAATACACATTGGAAAAAAAAATGCGAACTTTAAAATTGTGTAAAAATGCCACTTGATATTTCATTTGTCATCATTCTGTAAGGCACGTCATAACCTTAAAACAAAAAATTTGTGCAAATGGTTTTGAAATGATTTTGGATGAAAGTTCTCAGACTGCTTGACTTTATTGCTTATTGTAGAGAAGGCATTGCTTTATATTCTTTAAATACTTCAAATCAGTTAGGTTTGCATATGATCTGTGTTAACCAGAAATTTGTCAGGATGTATTTGCTTTTCCTGTGTGGACATATGGAGCAATCAGAGTTCGATGGATACCAGAAAACATCTAAGTACAAAATCCTACAAACCACAGAACAGCCTTCAATAAATATTTTGCATTCTATCTAAGTACAAAGTAAAAAAAAACAAAGGTTCACCACTTTTCTCGAAATCAATAACTTATCCCTACAGATTGCATTTTTAAAAAATTGTTGCTATTGCAGAACCTCCCCCCAGCTCAAAATTTCACATTATTTGGTCAGATATACAAGTCATTGTCAGAACAGTTGAAAGCACACAAATACATTTTTTCATTTTTTTTCTTACAAAAATGAATGAAAATAAAGAATCTTTGGTAGCTAAGCAAAAATAGAATGGAAATGTCTATATATAAAAATGCATTGAAATACATAGTAAAATAAGTACACGGCTACAGCAAAGGGCTGACACGGCATAAAAAATCCAGCTTCGCCTCAATAAGGTACTGTGTATAAAAAGGAGCCCATCATATCACAAACAGATCATAAATTACGTGAAACCATCAGAATGCATCAGTCTTTGGAGAGCACTCTGACACCTTGATGCAATGCAAAGAGAACCACTGAGGTATTTAATCTTCATTATGTCAAGCATCACGCAGAATGATGAGAGAGACGTAAAAGTGCATATGAATTATGGTCAAAAAAAGTAAGTACATCCCATGAAAACTGTTGCCTTTTTTAATGTATTTGAACAAGCAAACATTTAATATCTTTGTAATTCTGACAAAACGTTGAGGATTTTTTTTTCACGTAAGAGTGGTATAAGAGTGGCAAGTGAATGTGAAAGGAAATGCTTTTTCCTTAAAAAGATATTAAACATTGACATTCCTGTTGAAAAAGTAACTTTCCTTTGTAGTGTTCTTGAACTTTACCACCTTTTCAAAGAAGATCAAGTGGTTGCTTGTCAAATAATAATAACAACAATATTAATCTGACATACTTACATTTTCACATGACTGTAAATTCATGTCTGCTTCTGGTCTATAGCAAACACTGGACTTATTCCAAAATATTGCTTCCTACTATCAACTGCCCTTATTCACATTCCTATGATCAGGTAGTACTATTCCCAGTAGACACTAACATAATCTCACATCTACTTTTTCCCTTGCTAGTGAACAGAATGCAAGGCAGCTTAGAGATGTAACCACTTTATCCTTATGTCACAAAATCTTTGGGCTGGAACTTGTCCATCTTGTTTGCTTGGTGGTTAAAATTCATACTGGTAGAAAGACAACAATAATAGTGTTTTAGCCACTTTTGCAACATACATCTAAAATAAACCTTGTTAAAAGACGAAAAAACAAAAGTCACTGTTTCTGTAAAAGTAAAACAGTCACAGCAGCAATGATACGTCATCTCTCTCTTGTGGTCATCACCTGGTCGCCTGATCAGACAGATATAAATTCTGCTGGTCAGTGATCAGTTTCACTTTGTAAACTAAAAATACTGCAGTCATGTCACATGGGAATAACAATAAATATACCACAACATTAGGTGATGATATGTTTTCACATTGAGCATACATTGAACAGCCAGTCCATTGGTTACATTCCAACCCAACCTTTTTCCAACCAAGTGCTTTCTTGTTGCTGACATAAGAATCAAAGCAGTCTGGCTATCTGATTCTTTCGGCAATTCCAAATGTTATATTTGCTCCCTTAAACCGTAACAGGTGAAGAGCACAAGGAAGTTTGCATCTTTCCCATATGACATGAGAGCATTGAAAGAAAGAAGGCCGCTTTCCATTTCAAAGCCCTTTCTACACTCCTTCTGGCTTCATAAATTGATACTGTAGCTCTTTCCAAAACAGATTAAAACACTGAAAAGGTACACTTAACTTGAACATGTGGCAATAAAAAAAATAAACTTGAGTGAAATAACTTTAGGTGGATTTGTAAGTTTTGAAGTGGTAAAATAGATCACCCCTATCTATTTATGAGATCTACACAGACTAGACACTGTGTATGTGGTACAATTACACTAATTATATAGCCCTGGTGATAGCCTCTACCAATACCTTTTATCACTATTAATGTAGATTTTTGTCAATGTTGTTCAGTCATTTGAGACTGGAGACAATCGGGCAGTCTTTAGGCTTTCATTTGACGGAGGCAACACAAAACTTGTTCTTTAGTTTAAGTGAGAAAAAAACACATTTACTGGAGAGAGTGCTCTGGAGGGAAAATATTCTTACTGGACAAGTTAAATCCCATCTAAGAATCCAGTTTTATTGGCTTAGTTGCTAATATTAGATGAAGCCCAGTGAAAATGACAAGGGTAAGAGGTAGCTAAAATTATAAAGCCTAGCGCTCTTGCTGCCAAATGCAATAAACACAATCTTGCCATTCTGAGTTATCCAAATTAGCTAATCAGACTAAACCAATTGATCTTCAGCTAAACCTTATTTGAGTATGTCAAATGGCTAGCTTGAGGATGTACAAGGATCCTGGATGCTATGGTCACAGCCACTGGCATTTAGTCTAGAAAATATTTATATTTCTTTGTCCATTTTAGTTGACCTCACTTTGCCTCCAGAGCTGCTCTACAGCTAAAATACATTTGTATAACAACAAGATGATGTGTGAGAGAAACCCCCGGTTTCATTGGGAAATCATGATTGTAGTCTGTAAGTCACACATCCAGCACCATATCATAGTGTGTTTCCTTCTTCCTTTTCCCACATTTATTTATGAGCACTGTATATAATGTCAACAGTATAACCCAGTAACTTGCATAGACCACTGCCCCTATTATCAAAACAATCTTTTCTGAGTCGGGGAAGGGTTTTCTAGTCTGTTGTACTACTGTGTATAAAATTCCAATGAAAAGGATAGTGAACCATACTGATATTGGAATCAGACCGATAAAGTTCACCACGATTGTTTTCCTCCCAGAAGTCCCCCATCCAGACTTGTTGATTGTTGCTATTGCAAACATTTTCGCTGGCAACAGGCTTGACATATACAGTACAGAATAAAATGACATGAACACCATGACAATGTTACCTCTGAGGCAGCTGGCAAATGATGACTTAATCAGCGCCACTGCTTGAACAATGAGTAGAAACAAAAGAATATTCCAGAGCCTTCCTTGGTAAAAGAGTTGGATCGCTGTGGCGATGAGGAAAAATGGGAAGAAGCCAGTGATCACAGCCTCATAAGTCATCCAAAGATGGTGTTTATGGAACCACATGGAGTTGTACAGCCATTCTCTGAAATATGACTTGCTCCATCGTGTCTGTTGATTGAGCCACCGCAGATATGTAATTGGTGTCTCTGTAAGGCACTTTGACCGTGCAGTGTATTTTGTTGCATACCCGAGGCTGAGAACTCTGTTCGTGAGATGACGGTCATCCCCAAAACTGCAGTGGGATCCCATGAAGGTCTGATTGTACCAGTCCTCAAGAAACTCATGCAGGAGAGAGTTCCGGTACATTCCTAAAGGCCCGCTAATGCATTGAACGCAGCCGAAGTAGGACTGGCAAGCCCGCTCAATGTTGAAAGCCATCCAGTACCGAACACTGCTCAGGAAGGAGATCCACGACTCATATTTATTTAGGATCTACAGGTAGGTTGACAAGCAGAGACAAAAAGTATGAAGTTTAAAGCACAACATCCTAATTTGTATGTTTGATGTAGAAGATTCAAATTTCACAGAACTTTTAAGAAAACTACCTGTACATCTCCTCCAACTCCTCCCACCATAGGGTCTTCCTCCAAAACCTTAACCATCTCCACTGATGATGCTGGGTCCAGCATGGTGTCAGAGTCACACACCTACATAAAAACACAAGTTAATCAAGAAATTAACTGTGTTTTAGCAACACAGGATACATTTATTTAGATTTTCTTCAACATAGTTCCAGATGTCTTCTTTGTTCAGCTTAATTCTGCAAAACATAACAGATCTCAAATTGACCTAAACTCCCCAAAGAGAGGGAAAAAACCCTTTCTTGCTGAAAAAAATTTGCTTGGACAATCGGAACAAAATTTCGATATACAAAAGAAATTTTTGTGAAATCAAAAAAAAATTACATAATGACACACAAAAAAAAGATATCATGCATCCAACAAAGCACATAAATGCTCAATATGGCCACTTTATAATCTCCGCCAGCCAAGACCAGAGGGGCTGCTTTCAACTCTGTTCACCACCCACTATAGCTCTAATGTTGTTCTTCTGCTCTCCCTATTTTCTTCTATAAATGGTAATTTTCCTGACCAACAAAATCAGGTGATGAAAACAAACCTAGAGCCCAGTCCTTTTTAACAAAATACATCTGTTACAGGCAGAGCCTGATGAAAGTGAAAAGGCATGAAACATTGTCCCTCCTGTTTCTAAGGTTGAAAAGTATTGGCATGACTGCTGGCAGTGCAGCAGTAAGCTCTATTGAACTTTTTGTGAAGTAAATGATTTTTGGCAGGCTGAAGCCAGCTGCAGGTGTTAGACAGCATTATAGCTCTGAGTTCATATTCTCAAAGTCCCCTTCTTTGTTATACAGACCCGTTTGAATCATTTTGATGCTGTTACATAAATTAAGCATCAGTTGAGCCTTACTCTTTGATCACAATGCTTTTTGTAGCACTAACAACTCAACATCACAGAAGAAAATGACATAATGATACTTGGCATTTTGGACAAAGAACTGTTACTTGTGCTTAAGTCTGAAGACACAAGAGTTTTTGAATTAGCCTGAGGTTTCTGCTTTTCAAACGTAATAACAACAGATCTGTGGAATTGCAAAACTAACTAAAAATGCTGAAACGTCATTAAAGCCATAGACTGAGCGTCTGGTAACAAAGCAGAGAAAGTCTTGACAGAGCATGCCCGCACAAAATATTCTGTGTACTTTAAACGCAATCATTTAGTCATGGAAAGAAAAACACTTTCATTGGAAAGTAGCTTTCATGCACTGTTTAGCATTAACAAGCAGATTCCGGAAAAGGTGTGAAGTCATCAGCGTTGGTTCAACCCATGTGACCTCACCACCCTTCAAGTAATTTTTATTCTTTAGGTAAACACAGTTTGAAAGGTTGTTATTGTGGCTGAATTATATGACACCACAATGTGGTTACATATCATATGACAGTAATACAAGCACTCATTAAGTATGATATGATAGCTAACATTTGCCATTGTTAGCTACTGCTAATACAAGACAAAGTAAGTCTGGAGGATCAAAACCTCTTTGTATTTTGAACTGAGGAAGGTTCCATTTATTTTTAATTACTTTTATGCTCCTGAATATGACAGTACTATACAGCTCCACAAGAGCCCATGACACGTTTAACAGTCAGTGCCTGCAGGATATTACTTTACCAAGCAGTTAATGTCTTTAGCCACTGTTTATTTTTTAAGCCACACCAACATACTGTCGCTAGCCAAACACACTATCGAATTTAGTTTTCCTAAAGCTATCAGGCTTTTAGTCCTTAGGTCTGTGTTACTCAAATATAACCTTTGATTGTTTTTAATTTTTCTGAACAGGAGACAAACACATGCTAACCTTTCTAACCTTTCTTTGATACAGATTTGTAGATGACGTAACGCCCTGCGAAAAAGATCTGTTATTACACTTAGACATCAGCTACTGCTGCCCTCCTTCACGCCACACTTCACAACACGGTGCACATGCTAAAAAGCAAAACAAAAGACTCTTTGTGGACCCCATATTTGGCTTGGCATAGCCTCCCCTCCTCTCTTTCCAGCCATCTCTCGTTCTATTCCCTTTCACTCTATCATCAGCTTATGTTTGCCTAGTTTGCATCTCCCACAGTAGCTTACATTTTCTCTTTCTTCACTATGTCCTTCAGATGTCAGCTCTGTGTGTGCATGCGTGCAAATCTACAAAGACACACACAGGCACAAAGTAATATTACACCTGTTGTACAGTATTTTTAATCTTCTAATTTATTTCATTTTTTTTATTTTATTTAAGGGGCTATTGTTCTTCCACATTAGCTGCATTAACTGATTTTAAGCGATTTAACTACTTACCTGCACATAATCCACGCTCCTTCCCAGTGCTTTGAAGGCTGTATACATGACCTCTCTCTTCCCTCCCCACTTCTGCATGATGCACACACATTTGCTGTTCAGCACAACCCTGGACACCTGCTGAAGGCTCTCAGCGTAGCTCTCATCTGTCTCCTCGGGTCCTCTGCTGTGATAATTACTCCTCCACACGTACGTGGCCGATCTGTCCGATCCCATGACCTCCTTAAAAATCTCCATCATGTACAAGTCATCGTCTGAATTTCCATCGATCACCATGATAACTTTGATACCAGGATATGTCAGCCTCTTCACTGACACAAGGCATTTTCTTAGGTAGTTTTCATCCTCCTGATATGCAGCGATGCACAATGCCAAGGACTTGTTCAGTTTAATTGGTGTTTCTAAGGAGCGCCGCATGTTACGGTGTTCTAGGAGTGCAAAGAGGGTCTGGATAATAAGGTGAACAACCAAAATGGCACCATACAGCCCAAAAGATAGGTGATTTTGAGCTGTAGTAAAAAATTGGTAGCCCATGATATAGGCTGTCGAGATGCCCACCAGGAGAGACACGCCGAACATGGTGGTCCCAAATATCCTCAGGTAAGTGAGGCCTCTTTTACACTTCATCTGTGGACAAAAACAAAAGGGTTACATGTAGTAACAGTGGTGCAGAAAATGTTACTATGATTGACGGCAACTCACAGTGAAACATTTGTAACCTTTTATACTCAATTGGTCCAAGTAAATGACCTTCTTAACCTCCTAAGACCCGAACTCTTCCACGGCATGCATTTTTAATTTCTCTTTGATTTTTGGGATGATTAGGTCCTGATGAATGTAAAAACAAAGAATTACCAGATTTTTTAAAACAAATTTTTGCTTGTAAGAAAAATGAGAGCCACATATGAGGATATTTGTTTAAAATTTTGATAGAACAGTAGCAGTATAATGTCCTCGTAAGTGGATATCAGGCCGTTGTAGAGCAAAATTGAGTATTTTGGTCTAAATAACCCAAAAAGCTTTTCACTAAAGCTTTTATGTTTTGACACAACAAAACCAGGTACAGACTGCTGTAAGCTTTCTCCTTTTTTATGCCCCATCCCTCTCCCTACCTCCTCCCCTTCCCCAAATCCCCCTAAATGCCAGACAGTTGTGAGTAGCCGATTGTTCCAACTCTCTTTTAGTGTGGGTGGCCACACGTTACAAGATTTCTTGACCTAATTAACCAACAAGTTGGCTGCCTCTGCCAACCATCAAGGTCTAAGCACATGCAAAATGTTGGTCGTGGTGGTGGGGTGGCCTATAATGAAAATTATTGGTTTCCACAGTATTTTGGGGACACATTGCAAAGGTCAAAGACCAAGTATGACAAACTCTGACCTAGAACATGAATATTCAATATTTTTAAGAGAGGCGTTTGTGCAAGAGGATGCTTTTGCGTCTGCATCCTCTTGCACAAACTCCTGAAGTTTGTTTCCAACCCTCATTATGTTGCTACCGCCATCTGTTTGGCAGACCAACGGAGACCCACTCAGCGTGGCTCATTTTGACTCAACGCAGAGAGCGGACCACCCTGTGATGTCATCTGTTTATATCTTTATGGGAAGAAGAAGACAAGAGACTTCTATTGCTGCACGCGTGCTTCTCTCTCTCTGAATCTTTGTATAGAGAGCATTGCAGGGAAATGACTTCTGTTAAACAGAGAGAAAGAGAGAAAAGACCTTTGACATTATGAAGGTCAAAGTATGCTGACCTTCAGTAGGGCTCCCTCTTGTGGGATAAACTTTTCATCTAGGATTTAGACGCATTTAGCGCCATTTTGTTCATTGAGTGACCAAAAATATTTTGCGATATCACGCATTTTGTACATGTACATTTAATCAAGTCAAGGGAAACAAGTCAGAACAACAATAAAATGATCAAAAGAAGCGTATACAAGGCCGAGTGATGTTTGTGAACTGGAGAGAGTTCTTGGGACCACACCTAAACACATGACAGATGAAGGGAGGGGACGACTAAAAGAGAGAAAGAAAAAAATATATACACAGAGAAAGCGAAGATAGCATGGAGAATCTTTAAGAGAGAAAGTGAAGAAAGTTGGTTAAGAAAATTGGTTAAACTAGCTGAAAAGCAGATGCATCTTGAGAGACATTAGGAAAATGAAAGTAAAAGACAGTGAGGGAGTAGCAGAAGCAGGGAGAGAGAGGTTGTGTTCATGGAGAAGAATACACACAAACACACACTTTGGCTCAGACATAATGCTTTGTTCATTTGACTGTTGGACGAGAAAGCCACAATCAGTGTAGCGGACCTCCTCTGGCATGTGGCAAAGGTTTTAACGTCAGGCCATCTTTTACAAGACCCCTGACATGCACAGATATACACCAAAATGCACATATAAAAGCTTATTGTACCACTGCATGTGTGTGTTTGTGTAATTGAACAAATTTAAATTTTGGCCTCTTTCAGCTTGTGTGAGAATGTCTATAATGCTTTATAAGCCCTGTATCCATGTCTTACCTTTGTTTGAACTCAACCACTGATTAGGAGTAAGCATGAGTGCAGCAACAAAACACAACGTTTTGGGGCACTTCCTTGTCAGCTTAAAAGTACATCATGACTGACAAATGTACACCTCTACATTTCATCAACTGGGCTTTGGGAGAAAACAAAATGAACTTGATTGAACCACTGAAGATAACAAGGACAGGAACCGTCGTCAGTGTTTGCTCCTCCTTGACTTTCTGTTAATGATCTGCACTTTAATGATACAATCTGTTTGTTCTGATTTAATGTTTGGAATGAAAGTAAAAATCAAAACTAGGACATTAAATCCATCATCGACAGGCTAGGCTCATGGCATGTAAATGTGATGTGGGAAAACGTCAAGTCCACAGTAATGCAACCATTGCTGCTGGCTACAATGATCTGGTCTTTGCAGGATCTTATACACCATTTTGGGTGTGTAGTGCAGCGCAGAGGTCGGGTTGACAGTTAGCTCAGACTGCAGACAGATTAACTGCAGACTTAAAGTGAGGCCAAACTCTGGCCCGTTCTTATTGAGATAAAGCCTTTTTAATCAGAGCAGTATCTGTAACAGTGGAGATTTCATCCACATATGGATGATGTAAATGATGTCACGTTGGTTGGTGAGCACGCGTATCTTCATGTGTTTGTCCAGAGCATTTATCTATGCAAGCGGAGGGTGTCATTAACACATGAAGATGATATCACCCCAGCTTTCTGTTTGTTGTTACATCTTGGCACTTGAGGGTTAGAACATCGCCATTATGTCCTTTTTGCTGTACATGTGTGTATGCGTGGCCAGCCCTGTGGTGACCTTGGGCTGGAAGCTTGAGCAGTCTCACTCTGACGTTATTAACAGTCTCTTGAGTGAAACTCCCACGGGCTCTCTCTCAGAGATAACATTGCAGTAATGTTGAGTCTTGCATGGATGTACATGGTGAGTTAGTAGATAAATGAAGCGATGACTACATAAATTAATGGATAGATTAAGTTGACCCAAAAAAACTGGGTCCTTGGAAAAAGTGCATCTGGCTGTTCTTTTAAACTGAGACACGTGGATTTGTTTGGGATTACAGCAACAGTAAAAAAAAAAAAAACAACAACAAAAAAGTAGTGACAGGGAAATCTCATTGTGTTTGTGAGGTTGTTATTTTGAAAATATGATTTAGGAAAACCAATGAGTGTCTTGCCTTTCCGTTACTCTAAGTGTTCTTACAGTACAAATGAGCAAGGCGCTGAACTATTTAGCTGTAACAGGAATGAGAGACTGTGCCTGCATCTTCCTCTGCTTCTGAATGAAACAGCATATTAATATGCTACAGTATGCTAAATCAAAATCCTGACCTCATGACAATATTAGACTAAAATTCAGGGATCACTATACTATGGTTTATTTTGTTCAAAACGTGCTCACTACATGCACACATTCTGATGGAAATCCATCCAATAATTTTTTCAGGTGGAGCCACTGAGTAAATCAAATGTGAACATCAAAGTTTCCCTGCAGGAAAAGTCAAGGAAACACCATGTGCAAACATTGCACAGACTTTGTAAATAAGTGAATTTGTTGATCTGCTGGTGCTCAGAGGGATGATAGGAGTTCACCGAATACAGAAGGTACATTGCTACACATAGAGTCAAGTTACTTGCAATGCCAAGAAAAAAACATTGCATTTAATCGGTTTGACATGTTTACAATATTGCGCAAAAGTCTTGAGCCACCTCTAAATTCTTTATATTTTGTTTCCAATGATACAGACCTTCTAGTAATTTCTTTAACATCTCATACTTTTTAAAGTGGTCTTGAGCAACAGTTCTTCAGGGCTTCTTAAGGTCTTGTAATGCTTCTGTTTGGACATTGGCTGCTTTTTCACTCATTTTTAGCCAAGTATTTAGACCTGTACATTAAAACAATAAACACTGACCTCTGAATCGATCAAAAAGGCACCTAACAAGAGAGAGTGTTTATTGACCAGTGTAAATGCTTTTATTCTGATTTGTTTAGCGGAATCTATGAAACCTGCAAACACACCACAGGTTGACAGTGATAATAGTATTACATAATAAAATTTTTACAGGAACAAGATGATGATGAGCTATTGACTGCCTGGTGTGCAGTGTGCCCTTAAAACATTTGAGGAAACTGAATGAAGGGCAAAAGAAGAATTGGCAGAGCTAGAAAACTACCTACAACAAATTCCTGACACAGGACCTGAGAGACAAATCTGAAGCCTCAGTGGAAGGGTTGGCTGTCAAGAAGTCATTCTTAAGGAAGGTAAAAAGGAAGAAAAGGCTGATGTATGCCAAATTACACTCATGGAGTGATAATTCCAGTCATTTTTGGTTTAAATTATGCATTGATATGTATGGAGGAAGTAGTACAGATGTACAACACCCAAAACACGGGGGAGGCTCTGTTATGGTTTGGGACTGCATTTAAGGCAGTGGTGTTTGGGATCTTGTCAAAATTGATGAAAATGTGAACACAGAAAAGTACAATCAGATTTTGATCTACCATGCAGTACCATCTGGAACGTGTCTGATTGGCTTCATTTTTTAGCCTGACAACAATCTCAAACAAACAATGCAGTAAAAGAATATCTAGATAGAAAACCACACAATGGAATCAGTCATGGATTGACCTCCCCAGAGCCCGGACCGCAACATTATTCAAGCAGTGTGGGATCATCCTGACAGAGAATGGAACAAAAGGAAGCCAACATCCAAAGAAGAGCTTTAAATGTCCTATAAGAAGCCTGGAGAAATATTCCTGAAGACTACTTAAAGAAATTACAAGAAAGCTTGTCTAAGAGAGTTCAGGCTGTGTTGAAGGTGGTCGTACCAAATACTGACTTTCGAGTTGTACAAACTTTGTTTTTGCTTTACATACTGTACATACTGTATTTCCATTCACACTTTTGCATGTTTCAATAAATCACTGCTCCGATTTCACATTTCCTTTGCATAGCATAGAAACAAGGGAGTGGCTCAAGACTTCTGCACAACACTGCATATTTTCATTCTGTTCATTCTTTTGGCCACAAAGAACCGACAATAAATCTCAATCACCAATTAAAATATGAGTGCTACTTGTGCGCAATAAAATATGGGACACATTTTGGTTTTCAAATATAATGAATATCTTAAAATCACCACATGTTATAATAAATTGCATGCGTGTTACATCAGGGAGAGCTTTAAGATATGAAGAACAGGCTGCTTAATGTGAATGCCATATGTACCTATGTGCAAATCTATCACTAATGTCACAATGTATGGCATATGTGTGTGTGTTTGTGTGTGTATATACACAGCATGAGGCATATGTGTGTGTGTGTGTGTAAGAATATGAGTGTGTATGCAGGCTGTCTGAAGAAAGAGATGCCTTGACTTAACTCACATGAGAGCAGTTGAAGCTCTTTCAGCAGGGTTCCAGCTCAAGACCTCTGATAGAAACGCAAGACTCTGATAGACTCTGTGTGTGTATGTGTGTGTGTGTGTGTCTTCATACACTAAAACTACATATCTGTGTGAGTTTGCACAAGTGTGTATGTAATTACTGTGTGTGCTGCCCAGAGTATAACAGTGAAGTGGAGCCAAAGAAAAACAGCCTGCTGGTCTGTGTGGAGCTGAGATAACATAAAGCTCACATCTTTACATCTCAGCAGTCACTGCTGGAAGTGTAACATTCACAAATCAGCAGCTCTGGCTGGATAAGTACTTATAACAAATCAAACATTATATGCTGGGGGCCCAAGCTGACACTTGTGGCTGGTATAATTTAGACCTGAATCACAGTTAAGGAATTGAACAGTTTTCATGGTATTTTTCATGACAATGTTCAATGAAGCCCAGATAAGTATGAGCTAATAAAGACAGATTAATGGTATTTGGGGTTTTTGTGAGGAGTCTCTGGATCCATTGAAAAAATAATAGTACATTTGATATCAGTTTAGTATAAAAAACCAGACCTGCTGAGGTAATACACACCTTTGAAATCTCATGTGCTTTGACAATTTCCAAGAATAAAAAAAACACGCATGTACAAATGGAGAGATATGCATCACAGATAATGATTTTATATATACACTAGGTTGTCAGTGTGTGTTTAAGAACTTTGCAGGGTTAGAAAAGGCCACGGGGGATTGTAAAATTAAACATTAAACGTGGAGCTGGCTCTCATGACAGACATAGCAGCATGCAGCAAAGGGTCACATCTTCCCGAGAAGCTGATGAGGCAAAAGAGTGGAAGCGGCGGGGAGAGACTTGAGAATTGGCTGCAGTCTTTGGCTAGATGTACTTGACACATTCAAGGCTGGGCTGCTGCTCCATGTCTATTTACTATGTTAATTTAGTGACAAGGCTCCTTTTCTCTTCGCTCTTTCTGGGGGCAGAATCAGGTGTGATGGGGCCATAACTGAAAAGCAGCAAAAGGTTAAAGCATCTTCTAGACTGCAACTGTTTCTTCATCACGCAATTAGCATCTCATTACACTGTTACACCAACAGATGTTGTTATATACATGATTTAATACAACACTGAGGTAAATGTGTTCTCTGTTTCAAAGCCAGACTATGTCGTTTGGTATTTAGGCGTGTCTTTTTTCCACCTTGATTCATCCATGTAGTAGGAAGAAAAGGGGAGGAGGTGAAGTTGGGATGAAGCTGCTCAGAGATGAATGGGTGGCACACACTGAAAATGGGGTGGGGCCAGGACATTGAAGGCGTGGTGCTGTACTTGGATGCATTCACTGCCAGCTGAGGCACGGGACTTACATCACTGTGGCAGACTCCAAGAGACCAAAGTGAGATGAGGTTGAGTATGGAATTCCTCCTTCTTAAGCTATTTCTTTGTGTGAAAAAAAAATGCAAAAAATCATTGAAAGCTCTTCTTTTACAAACACAACCTGTTTCTCTGTATCATCCAACGATCCAGCAGTTCCCTTATCAGATTGATAATAGACATCCATCCATCAGCAGTACCCTTAAATAAATGTCTTCACCTCCATGGGATGGAAAATTCTATTAATAGCACTCTTTAAAACCACAGCCCAGTGTGGCTAAAAGATAACAGAGGCTCATAATCACACTCAAGTAGTAGATAATTAAAAAGAACTTTATAATTATTAAGGGGAAAAAAGGAAGAAAGAATCACACTAAGATTTCCATGAAACGTTTTGTCAGTTTGTCACTCTCATCTTTCCAGAAGATATACAGAAAATATAAATAACATTAACAAGAGCCACTTTGTGAACTGCTCCTGCCCGGTTTGCTTTGTAAGGGGCCTTTGTTACTTTATGGTACACTCTAACTGCTGGATATATGAATTAGATTTGGCATCAAACCGACTCTGTGTGACTCAGCATGAGGTAGTGAGAATCTAACTGACATCCAAATTTTCACTTTTACTGGCTGGCTGCAGTGCTGCTTTACTGTTAGTATACTGAAGGAACCTGGAAAAAAACTGGTATTAACACAGAGTAGATGAGCTAAGTGGTACGGCTCGGGAGGGGCTGCGCCTCTAAGATCAACAGTTGTACCCTGCCAGCCCCATGGCTCTTTACACTAAAAGACCCTTGCTGGGAGAAGTAATGGCACGTGAGACTTGTTGTGTGCCTTAATGGAGGCCAGCCACGGAAAGTCTTCTTCTCTTAAATAGTAAAATGCTCTTTGTGCTGTGTGGGACTGCATGCTGGAGCACTGATGCAACTCAGACATCAAAAAGGTTTTAAAAACTTCTTTGTCATTATAGTGGACAACTGTGACATTCACAGAGTATTTCATTTAATAGCACTAAAGCCATATTGTCTTTCTCATTGGGAACTGAGTCCTGCACTCAGCAAAGAAATTCCCTGGAGGACTGAGATTAGGAACACCACATGGGTATTAGGTTGAATACATGCTGACATGGGCACAAGATCCACATATGCTCCAAATCTACAGCAAATGAGCAGTGAGCATTTATTTGAAGTTTACAGTTTCCCTGCTAATAAAGTACTGCGCAAAAAGTTTAATCCACAAGTCATCCTGGAAGTATTTTTTCACACTGGACACACTTGATCATCTCTTCTTACAAGTAAATATGCAGGATATCACCACAGAGTTAGGGTGCATTGTGAGAGCAGCACAATGCAAAGTAAAATCAATAAAAATAAATAGATAATCCAAGTCAGCAAGGAGATTCTGCTTGTGGGTTGAAAAGTTCTACATTTTGGATAAATAGCTGTAATATTTGTCCACTTACTCACACATGGTGTGTGGGCAACACAGTGGGACCCAACAGCGGTCTGTGCACACTCAGTAGGTGGATGGAGAAAGAGACTATGTCAAGGAGAGTGTGACAGATGTTCATTAGCATTTGTGTATATGTGCGCGTGTGATGGGTGTGCAAGGGGACAACAATGCTCAGAACTTAGGTGCATGGACCACGTGATATCTCACATGAGCTTTTCTGGTTTTGTTTAAGTTCAAAGTTAGGAGGTTATGAATAAACTGCAAAACTTTTCAGCAAGGCATGTGCCTGCTACCACTTTTTACAGAACACGGATATCAACAAAGGCTAACTTGTCCAAAAGCTGAAGGCTGGTCAAGAAGCTATTCACACGCATGCAAATGTTAGTCCTCCACACTGGGCGTCAAATTACGCGCCCCTACCACAAGCCACGCTGAAACAGTCCCCATTCAGTCTTCTCATTGGCTTAAAAATCTCAACGAATGACGTGTGACCAGTAACGTCACAGTGTAGTTATATTCAGGCTAGCATCACTCTTACAACAAAGACTAGTCATTAATTTGACTGATCAGAAGATAAAAGCTTAGCATATTAAACCCTTTACACCTGTATTTTGTAGTGTTATAGCATGAAATGAAACACAAACTGAGTTTCAGCACTTCTTGCTGTGGCTCCCAACTTTTAGCATCACTCACTTTGTGGAGCAAACACGCTGAACAAACTCGTGAAAAAAAAAAGCTCTATGCATGCACTTTGCTAGAGAGTTGGCGCATCATCACGTTCACACACACGCGCGCACACGAAAAATGATTGCGCGTAATTATGTTCTAAACCACTTTATGAATGATTTAGTGGCTTGTGGTAAAATATTTGGGGCTTATTGGTCTGTCAGCATGCTGCATGATCGCCAGACCAAATGATCACCGGCCACCTACCTTGAAGCAGCTGTTGTCCTCTGATTCCTCCTGATAAAGGATGCGTCTAACTTCTGGGACTCTGGTCCCGATCCACAGAGGAAAAAAGTAGACACAGAGCTTGAGCAGCGACGACTCTCATGAATCCGCTTAAAATGGTCCTCATAAGCCTATTTTTGTTTGTTTGTTTGTTTGTTTTTTAAAAGGGGAAAAAGAATAATAAAAAAAGTCGTGCCAGTCCTTTGTATGTGTGCTCAGTTTGGATGCTTCAAAAAGACAACCGGGATTGCTTGTCTTCTCTAACTTCTAACGGTTTGTCTGCAGCCTTTCCAAGTCACTTGCATCTCTGGTGTCCAAAACCAAACATCATATCAGTCAGCTTTGGCATCATTCATATAAAAAAGTATAAATAAAACATAGACTATAAAAATATGATAAATATTCTTCTCCATCAACGCCTGTTTCATTCATTCTTAATAAAACGAAAAAAAAAATTAAGATAAAGCCATCAACTTTGGCAGCTTCAGTCACATTCAAAAGTTTTTTAAAAAAAACAAAAAAGTTTCAGCAAACAATAAAATATGAGCCAGAGCTTTTTTTGTATTCTTCCTGTCTTAAGGGGCGTTAAGGTAAGTTTTTCTAGAGTTTCCTCCGAGCATCCAGGTTACACAGAGCGCACAGAAGTCTCTCTGCCGCTGTTTCAGCTGTCTAATTCCTTCCAGACGGGTGTGTGTGCATGTGTGCGAGTATGTCTGTGTGTGTGGACCCTCCTTTATGGCTCCTGCGGCTCCCAAACCCCTTTTACCGGGCAACAGATTGGCGTGTTGATTTAATAGGAGGGAAGGTTTGGGGGTGTGTGTAAGGAGGAGCGACGGAGAAGTGATGGGGGAAGAGAAAAAAAGGGGTGGGGGAGGGGGGGCGGCGAGTCTCTCATCCAAACTCATTCAAACTTCAGAGAATGGGTGGGTGGGGAGTCTCTCATCCAAAGTCATTCAAACTCCAGAGAGAGAGAGAGAGAGAGCGAGAGAGAGAGAGAGAGAGAGAGAGAGGCTAACATTGACTGGAACCCCCTCTCCATTCATTTTATATTACAACTTGAGGTTACATAGTATAAAAATTACTAAAAGATCAAAGGTCAAGATCTCTGTCTAGATAAATAAATAAATCTGGGTAAATTCCCAGATGATTAAACGTGCAACTATTTTGCCGGTAATACCTGAAATGAGTAAAGAAAATCAACAGCCTATTTATGCAAGTTAATTCATAATTTTATTGGGTGTATTGGTTGGGTCTGATTATTGGGAGGGTCATAACCCCCCTAACCCTCCTGGAAATGACACCCCTGGTACAAGACATGCACATAAGCACGTGTGAGCCACACTTGGTGATGTTACAGAATTTCAGACCGTTCATGTCATCGTCAGATGCAGTTCATACATTTCACCAGCAGGCAGTGCTGTGCGATACAGAACTCAGAGCCAGGGCTGTGAGCTGTACAGTAGCTCCTCTCAATCCTAAAGGGATTATCCAACGAAAATCACGACTCATCTTACTCATATGGCCGTGAGTCAGTCAGCATCCCCCACCGTCACGGTGGCTATTACCTGGAAAAGTTAAAAGTTAGGAAACAAAAGGCCTGTATGTTGCCATTCTCAAGTCATAACCACAAGTTTACACACATTCCAGATAAGATGTTGGAATAAAAGTTCTTTTATGGGTAACAAATATCTCCTTCTTAAAATCCCACTGGAACATAAGGAAGTACGCAAACAGGGTCGCTTTAGTTCATTAATTTCTGTCGAAAGTGTCTTTTTCACGTATGAATTCTTACTGTGACTAAGATCTTTTTTGTTACATACAATATGCATCACCACCACAACAAGACAATTTCATCCCACAAAGAAATATCAAGTGCCGCACCACAGCAATTGTTCCTGTACTGAGGTGAATGTTACGAGAAACAAGTCTTCCCCAGTTCCAGTCGGTTTGAGAAACTCTTAAACCTGATCTGTTCTGTGATTGGACGTCACGGTTGTTCACTTTTAACTACTAAACAACAGCAACAACAACAACAACAACAAAAAAAACGTTAAATGGGTGCTCGTGTAATAGTGTATTTTAGTGCCATGAAAGTGGGGTCTTCACAGGAAACACATCAAACTATAAATAATGACAAAATATAATAAATGTGAAACATTTAGATAATAATAATTTTATATTTTGACACTGAGACTGAAACTTTTTCTGCAGTCTTTTTTTGTAAACCTCCCATTCTGTGAGCATGCACAAGCCAGTGTGATGAACACAAATGAGGCCTGTGGTAAGACCCCCCGCCCCCAACCCTCCCTAGCAGACCTGTATTGTTTATGTATGGTGGAATAAAAACACACAGTTTCCTAGCTCATGTGGATCTATTCCTGATTTTACCAAGTCAGTGAGCAACATCATTGTCACAGGGGACATATATGTTTTAGGGCTAAATTGCTTTTTTAAAAAACAAAACAAAACAAAAAATCCCACTTTTGTGCAAGCTCATTTACTCGAGTATTTATTTAAACAAGGAGCTACGTAATGACTTACAGACTCCTGGAAGTGGCTGTCGAGTTATCACAGCACAGAACATATAACATAGCCTCAGCAAGGCAGTTGGGTCGCACAGCTTTTCTGAAACAAATCATCAGGTGCTCAGAAAAATAAATCAAAGCACTGACAGTTTTATAGCCACTTATCTGACTTTTTTCTCTATTTTTTCCCCCTTTTTCTTTATGTTACTGAACATTTCATTCAGGACAGCAAGGCGTATCTGAAGCAAATAATAACATGCTGCCTGTGCCAGTACGTAACAATAATTATCACTGCTGCGTATCATTTTTATTTCCAATAACATTAAAAGAATATCCATATGCACTTCATACATGCCTAGTATGTGCTTTATGTCTACTACTGTAAGACTTGATGTACAAGAAACAGCAGAAGTCCATGGGGAATACGGTGTAATGAGTAATTATTCTGGGGCGTATATGTGTATATATGATGTAGGCCCATGTTTCACAAAACATGCCAAACTGTCACTTGTATTTTTGGCATGTCCTGGATGGCAACCTGAGACTGAACACAAATCTCCCACATGGATGCAGCATAGATTTTACTGATACAATTCTCGTATTTGTCTGCAATAGACTGCAATAACGCAGGATGGAATGAGTGATGCTGAACTGTATGGATACACACACTTTGCAGAATCCACATCCTTTTGGCCTTTGAAATACAAATTTGTTGATTGATGGGTCATAATGTTTGTTGATACTTCAATTTTTCATGTTGGGCGGCTTTGCCTCAGGAGGTATTGCAAGTCATCTATCGATTGGATGATCGGTGGTTTGATCCATGGATGCTAAAGTCTGCATGCCAAAGTGTCCTTGGGCAAGGTACTGAACCCTGAGTTGCTCCCGAAGCCTTCATTGGGGTGTCAGTGTGTGTATAAATGATAGACTTTTACCACTTGGACATGTAAAAAGCTCTTTGAAAAGTACATGTTTAACAAATTGAAGTTCAGAAATCTTTTTTCATTACTAAAGATAAATAAAAATACTTAAGAAAAAAAAATCCGGATTGAGGTTGTCATAATTCATGCACGAAAGGGTTAATTATGACTGCAACATGAACAAAAAATAAATCCCATATGATGTATTTTCACTTAACTGTGAAAAATCATTTCGATTTCAGTGTTGTTACAAGCCAACAGCACATGCACCACTTGTGAACTGACAACTATTACTTGAAAATGTTTTTGACTCTTTACTTAAATCTTTAGTTCTGGATGAAGGATGAAGTAAGTTGAACACTAACACAAAAGCCTGTCACAAATAATTCTGTAAAAGACTGTGACAAAGTGTGTAAGAAGTGAAAGATGACCAACACTTATGTAGCCTCTGGACAGGTTACCAGTCTGTTGCCGGGCTAACACAGAGAGGACAACAACCATTTCCACTCACATTCACACCTATGGGCAATTCAGAATCACCAAACAAACTGGAATACCCAAATACCTCTTATCCACCAGTACCTGCTCAACTCAGCTTGACTTGGATTTTAGGGTTTTCCATTAGGTGGTAGTACCTGGTACCAGGTACTTTTTATACCGGCTCAGCTGGGATCCAGAATGAGCTGAGTCTGTCCAAAAATGTGACTACTTGCCTCCAATTGGCCCGTCAAACTGGCCCCCAGTCAAAGGAAATTCCTTCACAAAACATGGCAACAAGGGAAATAGCTGCACAAAACATAACACCGTGGTCCCTGGGTCTGACAAAACCAAACAGCAGGTATGCTATTGCTTCAGCATCCTCCGTTGTTGTATTTGTGTTGCATATGAGGTGAAACTGTAATAGAGAATGAGCAAAAACTAGCAGAGTCAGTACTAGTGGAAAAGAGGACTGGGGAGTTAACTGTAAATTCTACACAGAAAGGTCCCAGCCAAATGGTGGAGTCAAACCTTGGAGTGAGGCAAAGGTGCTAACTGCTAACAGTGATAATCACTCTGCCACCATGCTACCCTTGCCGTTAATCAGGGTTCCTTAAATACAGCTGTAGCAACGTAAGTAAACTTTATTTGTCCAGTGCTAGATGCTTTAATAATGTAGTAGGTTATGCATTTGCTACTCATTTGAAAGCTGCTGGGTTTGAAATCAAGTCTGCTCAACAAAAATGTCTGCATTTTTTATAGGTGAACTCACAGGAATACTGTATTAGTCAAACATGAACATTCAAGTTGCCACTTTGATAAAAGTTGAAAAAAAAAAGTTATGAATCCAGTTCAATTGATATTTGGAGTTTTCCATGGCTTTTCTTTCTCATACTGTGGAAAGTCCTTTTCTTCATGACACATGGGTAAAGTTGCTTTCATCTGAAAAAGAAGTGTTCTACTGCTTCTACTGATATAACTTTACCTTCAATTGTCAGATTAAAGGCAGCAGGTGTCTTATGGTGATGAAAACATTGTAGCAAGCTGTCTTCTCCTTCGTTTCCTCAATCTCATGTGAGGATGTGTGTGCTTTTTAAGTTATCTGACAGTCACCTCTTTCAAGTCCAGTTCTTTAATCTAAAGGCAAATAATATCTCTCATCAGTACCGACGCAACCAACCAATCAAGTAATAATATAAAGAAATCTGCTGTTTTTTGCAATGTGTTTAAACCCTTTTTTTTTTTTAGCTAACAACGTCACCTCCACTGGCTCTTAATCTATAAAGTTCCTCTACACCATTACAACCATTTCAGAGGTTGCCAGTTTTCTGTCACGACCTGCGGGGTCGGCAAGGC